AACTTCTAGAGGGTCTCCATGAAACTCAAATGATGCAGCCATGCCCAGCCGATGGTTCGTGGCTAGGCCAAGAAGGGTCGTAGGACCCAAGAGGGAAAGAAAGGGGCAATGATGTAATAAGGGGGGATTATTAGAGTTATTTTAATTTTTTATTCTTTTGATAAGAATAGGGAGTGCGCATGAATAATGAGGAGGGTTACCTTTTCAAAGGTTTTCTCAATATGAGTTTATCTTGTGTTTATCTTGTATCAGTTGGGTTAATTAATTTGTAATGTAAATAGGATAAGGTTAAATCTAAGGGGAGTTTTATCTTTTCAATAATAGGTTGGCTTTGGATAAAAACGTGCGAAGCTTTAGATAAAAACACGAGAAGCTTTGGATGAAAACGTTGGAAGGTACGTGAAGTTAAGAGAGGAAAATAGGGATGAGAGAAAATAGGGAGGAGAGATAACATAGGAGAGTGCGTGTAGAGAGGTTTTTCCTTTGCTTATCTTCTTTTTTTTTATTAGTCTATTTAAAGGGAGGTTTCCCTTTATTGTAAATCAGAGTGAATTAATTGAATAGAATTTGGTCTCGTGAAGAGATTGTTTTGGGGTGGATTCCCTTGCAGACTTTTGAAAGAGGGTATTTTCTCTCAACCTTCTTGTTTTTAATGTTAATTTTCTGGTTTTATTTTCTCCCTGCATCAATTGGTATCAAAGCGGGTTCTGATGGCCTCACAAGAGACACCCCTCGATGAATTAAAGTTATTGACTGGATTAGTTCAAGCCTAGCAGAGAGAGTAGACCAATTCATGCCCGTAGCTGAGAAAGTAGATGAGCTTGTGCAAAAGTTCGCTCGGCTTTAAGATGGAAGGAATCCGGATACCGGCGTTGGAACTCAAGGCAACTGAGATGAAAGAGGTATGCATATTGTTCCTAACCAACCTTGGGTGGCCCCGGCTAATGACAAAGTCAATGAACGAATTCTTCGATTGTTGGAAAGCGAAAGAGAACCTGGAATAAAAATTGATATTCCAGAGTTCCATGGTCGATTGCAAGCAGATGATTTTTCTTGATTGGCTAAGTAAAGTAGAGAAAGTGTTTGAGTACAGAGATATTGCAGATCACAAAAAAGTAAAATTAGTAGCCACAAAATTTTCTGGCCATGCATTGGTTTAGTGGGATGATTTGAAACAGGATCGTCTTCGATAGGGCAAAGAAAAAATTAATTCATGGGAAAAAATGAAGACGAAGATGCGTCGAAAATTTTTACCAGTAAATTATGCCCAAACTTTGTACCAAAGGTGTCAAAACCTCAAGCAAGGTAAAAAGTCAGTAAATGACTATACTGAAGAGTTCTATATTTTGACATCTAGGGCAAATTTACAGGAGTATGAAGATCAAAAAATAAGTCGCTCTTGAATGGGCTAAATCAAGGCATTTAGAATGAATTGGCCTTCAAAGATGTCTATAAGATGTCTGATGCCTATACTTTGGCCCTCAAAGCAGAGGAAATAGTCAATCTCGGTCTTGAGAGAAATAGCTTAGTGACAAGAGGCTCTACTTCAATAGAGGGGCAGCAAGCTTTAACCTTTAGAAGACCACCTATAGGGCTTGGAAACCAAACCTCTCAGAATTTCCCAACTAGGCCACCCTAATATGGGGAGAGGTGGTGTTGGGAGAGAGCTGGAAGCACCTAAAACACCTCGTGATAATACACAAATTGTGTGTTTCAAGTGCCAACAGCCTGGGCATAGGGCATTCAATTGCCCCTCATGTCAACCGCCTGCCAAAGTTAATTTGGCCGAAGAAAATTATGAAGACGAAGACAATGAAGGATACACCTAGGAAGACCAAGGTGATATTGAGACGAACCAGTCTTATGAAGGGACTGAGCCTTGTGAGATTAGGAGTTGTACGGAGATGAAAGCGATGAAGCCTTAGTTGTCCAACGAACCATGCTATCAACCCCAAGACCTAGTGAGGACGAGAAGTGGCTGAGACACAATATTTTTCGAACAACTTGCACATCAAGAGGCAAGTTATGCACAATACTAATTGAAGGTGGAAGCAGTGAAAACATTGTGTCTAAAGAGATGGTGGATAAACTTCAATTGAAGGAGCATAAGCACCTACGCCCATATCACATCCAGTGGTTCAAGAAAGAAGGTGAACTACCAGTTCTTATTCGATGTTTAATCTCTTTTTCCATGGGTGCCAATTATAAAGATGAAGTGTGGTGTGATGTCGTAACTATGGATGCATATCACATATTACTTGGTAGACCATGGCTTTATGATCATGATGGTATTAATATCACACTCCACCCTATGAAGCAACTCCTACACCCAAATCCACTAAAGAGGAGGGTTCAAAGTTGCTTAATGTGCAAAAATTAAAAGGGAGCAGCAAGGATATGGATGTGATTTATGTGTTGCATGCAAAAGAAAATTCAGCACCGACTACAATTCCTAGGTCTGTTAAACCTCTACTTGAGAATATAAAGATTTGATGCCTAAAGAATTACCTGATGGTCTTCCTCCAATAAGAAATATTCAACATCACATTGACTTGGTGCCTGGTTCTAGCCTACCAATTTTGACCCATTATCGAATGAGCCCCATGGAACATGAAGAGTTGCACAGACAAGTTGTTGATTTGCTTAAGAAGGGATTGATTTGAGAAAGCATGTCACCATGTGTTGTCCTTGCATTACTTACTCCAAAAAAAGATGGGTCATGTTGGATGTGTGGAGACAGTCGAGCAATCAACAAAATTACAATCAAGTATCGATTTCCCATACCCATACTCGATGATATGTTAGATATGCTTAATGGAGTCAAGGTTTTCTCAAAGATTGATTTAAAGAGTGGGTAACATCAAATTCGGATTCGTCCTGGGGATGAATGGAAGACCGCATTCAAAACTCGAGATGGACTCCATGAGTGGCTTGTGATGCCATTCGGGCTTTCTAATGCACCAAGCACGTTCATGCGCCTAATAACTGAGGTACTTCGTTCTTTTATTGGTAAATTTGTTGTGGTTTATTTTGCTGATATCTTGGTTTTTAGTGTTAGCCCACAAGATAAACTCATGCCCTCCTAATTATCCATGCGCACTCCCTATTCTTATCAAAAGAATAAAAAATTAAAACAACTCAAATAATCCCCCCTTATTTTATCATTGCCGCTTTCTTTCCCTCTTGGGTCCTACGACCCCTCTTGGCCCAGCCACGAACCATCGGCTTGGGCATGGCTGCATCAACTGCACATGGCCAGCCCATCTAAGTTTACTCTCTCTCATTTTATCGCCTATTGGGGCCACACCTAAGTTCTCCCAAATATATTCATTTTAAATTCCTTCCCTTCTTGTCTTGCTACTCATCCATCTCAACATCCTCATCTCATCTACATTCATCCTATGGGTATGTTGTTTTTTGACCGCCCAACATTCCGCCCCATAAAGCAAAGCTGGTTCACAAACCAACAAAAACTACATTACAATTGACGTCATAGAGACAAGGTCAATACCTAAATGACTCAATGAGTGTCCAAAGCAGACTTTGGGGTCATCACATAGACACAACTAGATAAGTACATGCGCTAACCTCAACACCACTGCAGTTACAATTACTAGGAACCCAAGCCTCTCAAGTCTGCCTAGGGGCAGTGAATCACTTACTGAGTTTCTATAACATGTACATGAAGGAAGAAGAAACGATGGAGCTCTTCTTTTCATTCAAATCATGTAATTTTCATTTTTGCAGTTTGACCTAGAAAATTGACGCGGTAGGGTGATATGTGGTAAATTTTTGCAGCCATGGTGCAGGATTCTTTAGGCAATGATTTTCACAAGGATTCAAATTAGAGATGTAGTTATACGTTGTCCTGTGCTGGTTGCACTGCTATAGGGGATAAGCAAAGGACTGAAAAATGTGATTCTTTATTTTTTTTAATTCTCTTCATCATAAGAAGTGCCCTTTATTGAACTAGATATAATATCATTTATTTGGTGTTCAACCACATAAAGTTATTGTGATAGTGAGGAGGAGGATTTATCAATGATCCGTTGAAATTAATCTAGAACATGCATCAAAGGAACATAAAGGGGTAGAATGGAGAACAACCTCAAGAGAGTTGGGGTTTAAAGGTCCACCAAGCATTCAGAGAGTTTTAAGAAACAAAGGCTTGGGGCAGTAATGACACGTTATAGTAAACCAATGGGAAATTGGGATTCTCTATTGTCAATACTTAAAAATAATGCAAGGGTTGCAGCTAGCATTATATGGACACTGGCATGGAAGCCACTGTTCTAACTATAGGGGTATTATGACATTCATCACCATCATCATCCGAGGCTTATCCCAACTATTTGACGTTAGTTATAGCGGTATCTAACATCAAAGTCCAAAAATACCCATTAGTGCATGTGCAAGTAAAATGAAACAACATGCAGAAAATATAATGATAAGACTTGCTTAACAAAGCTAGTAAACATGTACTTAAATAAAGTCGATCTACAATAACATTAATATACCAAAATCGTTCTAATTTCTAAATAGTGGAATGGAGAACACCCTCAAGAAAGTGGAAGTTTTAAAGGCCCAAAAGGTTTTAAGAAACGAGAAATGACATGTTATGGTAAACAAGTAGGAGATGGAAATTCCTCTATTTCTGAGGCTTAAATACAATGCAAGGGTTTCAACCAGCATTGCATAGACATTGACACAGAATCCACTGTTGGCTATGTAAAGGTATGTAACATTAAAATTCAAAATGACATATTATTTTATATGCATGTAAAATGAGATCACAAGCAGAAATTATAATGATAAAATGTAAGTGATAAAACAGGTAAAGATGTATCTAAAAAAAACAAAGAAATAATCGCTACACTGAAATTAATCTACCAAAATTGTTCTAAAGTTACATGCATCTAATAAAAGATTGCCTGTTGTTTAAGAAGCACCAAAATGGAGAAAATGGGTGGTTGTACTCAAAGTAATAGTGAAAGACTCACTTCTTGTAGTCGTCTCGGCCAGTGACATGGTATCGCTGCATAACCATTGCTTCCCTGTGACCATCTTCCCTCTTCCAATCCAGAAAGTTGACCTTCTTTGTAAGCTTCTTCTCATGGAATTTGAGCTTCCTCATGATTACTCAGACAAACAAACACAAAGTAGAAACCCCGAAAGAAAAACTGTGTCCTTCACAAAATGGGTCTCACGCTCTCAGCAACATCAAACACTAGAACAGCAGAAGCATAGGTATCAGACCTCTGATTCATTGGCATTAAATGCAAACAAACTATGTTCTACACCAAGAAAATAAAATATATTATAAGGAATATATTTCGAATTTCTACAGTTCAGTGAGAAGGAAACAAAGAGACCACAACCCTTCTAATCGTAAAATATAGTATTCCTTATGTCAAGCTTGCGAAAAACCATAGCTCATCTGTTCTCTAGCACATGATAAAACACTTCACTGAGGGAGAGCTTATATACAATGTCTATAGCTCCCTGAAAAAGGTAGGTAAGGTGTAAAAACCATGGTCATAAGCCCTAAATCTTGAACAATTAGTCTGATTCAATAAACAATGAATACCTTAAAATACATGACAGGCAGTCAGTACCCTAATACCCAACAAAACTAAAAATAAACAGTATAAAGAAAAACAAACGCACTTTTTGGGTTCCTGCTCTGTGATGATGGCGATGGAGCAAGCGGCTTCTATGAGCGAGTCCCTTTCCCTTCTTCAACCTAGGGTTTGCGGAGGGCAGCGACGAGGCTTCAAGGATTTAGAAAGGGTTTTACGTTTTGCAAAGTTTTTCCATTGGTTCGAATCGACATCAAACAATATCTTTTATTAATTTTCATATGTTTGCTATTTCTAGGGCCACCAATTATCAAATCGGCAAATTTTTTAGGCACTTTAATATTCGAAACATCACGATTTGTTCAAGTTCCAGCAAAATAAATAGTTTTTTATCAAAATAATTATTTTTGAAAAAAAAAATTATATAAGATTGCAACCCTAAAATGTAGAATTACACATGCACTTCAAAAATCCATTGGAAAAGGTTGTTTTAATGTTGAAAAACTCTATAATTGATCATCTCGACATGGAGATGTATAAATATAGAGGAAAAAAATGATTTCGAGTCTTTGAAATAATGCATCTTGCAACAGATTATATAGACTGTCTATTTTCAAGAGTTATATATGTTTATAGATCTATTTGATTTTAACAACTTTTGAAGTCAAAAATTTTATAATTAGATACTAAAATAGATTTTAAGATAATCTTAAGAATTTTTTAAACCAAAATTATATGTTATGATAAAATTTGGAGGTGTGCTTTATTTGGATTGTTTAAGGTTGCAACGTTATAGAAATCGCACTTTTTTTTTTATAATATTATATTTTATTTTTTACATTAAAAGAAAAATACAAAAGCATAAAAAAATAAACTCTCATAGACTATTTCATTACACGAAATAAACCACCATCGTGCCACATAAATCCATAAATTGCATCCAAGTTGCTTTGAGTTTTCGACAGGCTAGACTCCTTATTACACCAATTAATAACATTTAAAAAATCCCTTTCAACGAAGCAATTCACTCAACCTGATTTGCAATGACACATCCACATGGTCTTGTGAAACAAAAAATTACCTCACTCTTCTGGAATTCCTCACAACTCCTTCAATTTTTATCGGTCCCAAATTTCCCAAAGAACTGCCATCGAAGTTGAACTTTACTCCCCTTGACAACAGCGGTTCCTATCGCCCTTTCAACCTCATATTAATATACTTACCTTAATCAAATTAACCAAATTCAAAGCCACATCGGGTCCGCATGAATAAACTTATTGGCTGCAACGCTTTTTTGTAAGGAATAATTTATTTTTAGTTTATTGTTATATTAAGAAAACCAATAAATGAGATTTTCTAACATAGTATTTTTTATTTTTAGCAATAAAAAAATTTAAAGGTAGGTTGACATAAATTTCCATTTTTTTGAAGTATACAAAAATCAGTTTTGTGGACACAGAGCTTCCCTATTCCAATTCCTTCTTTTTTTTTCTATTATTATTTTTCACCATTCATCCCGGATTGAAGCTGCACATATGTAGAAGCACTAGATGCCCGATCCAATATCGAGTATGAAATACTGTTACCAGTCATATGCTCGAGCCTGATCTCCTAGCCCAGATCTAATCCCACTCCTAGACCCAATACTCGCTTGCCTGTTGAGGTTGGGTTAGAGGCCACCACCAGTCAATTTCCACTCCTAATGGGTAATTTGGATGGGAATCAATTTGTACTAAATCAATTTTCGGATTGGCACGGTCCTGGCTGGTTCTTCCCTAAAACCCCCTGTTATATACATATATTATTATTTTTTAATCTCATTTAATATTTTCTTTAGTCCCCTCTATTTCCCCACCTATAATTCATAGTTTAAAGATTTTTATATTATTTATTTTTTAAATTACTTAGTTGGATCGATCACAATAGTAATCCAACCCGAATAAATGGGTAATGATCCAAGTTTCAAAGTACTTCGGGGTGGCAACGAGTTAGGTCGGGTCTAGAGGGCTTGGACCCCAAAAGAAATTATGGGACCCGGACTTAGACCCAAACCCGAAATTGTCGGACCCGATCAGACATGATTGTGTATATGAAGCATCTACACAACACCTATGGGCGAGATGCTACAGTGATCTCACCCATAACGCTATCGCCGTTCGTTGTTTTTGGGCGATGAGGATTTTTCAACCGCCACAAACCACGTGTCATCCATTGCGATTCCGTTCAATAAACCACCACGGACATAGCAAGTCCGTGACAGTGGCAAACACTATTTATTTTCGCCTATAAGTATTTTTTAGCTTTTTCCATATAATATATATATATATGAGAAATGATTCGATAGGACCCTCTCCCACTCATGTGTGTAGGACCTCAAATGATTACCATTAAATTTGGTACGGATATCTAAACAAGTCAAATCCCACACCCATATGATAACTTTTTTAGGGATCTGCGCCAAATTTAATGGTAATCATTTGGGGTCCTACACACATGGATGGGAGATGGTCCTATAGGATCATTAC